TCACCATCGGCAATGCCTGCCACAGCTAATGAATGCGAGCTTTCCATGTCTGGCAGGGGGCTGTAAGAGCGTCGCCGGACGCGGGGGGCTGGAGAGGCTTTCACGCGAGACAATAGAGAGGGCGCGGCCGGGGGAAGAGCGAGCAGGCCCGGAGCCTACCTGCTGGGGGTCCGCCATGAAGCAGTCCGTGTCCCAGCCCAGGTGCGCCACTCCCGTGTTGGCGTCGATGCTGCCCAACATCCCGAACTTGGACGCCATGACCACGTCGTGCTCCGCGCAGTGCCCCGCCAGCGTCGTGTGATTGGGCTCGATATTGATCTGATTGGAGGGCGGGGAGGGATGTCAGCTTCCCCACCGCGCGCTCAAGGGGTGTCAGGCCCGCCTGCCCTCCCTCCCCTCGGCCCGAGACCGACCTTGAAGTCCTTGTCCAGGCCGTAGGTCTTGAGGAAGCATATCACAGTCTGCGCGTCGTAGTCGTACTGGTGAGCGGTCGGTTCCTTGGGTTTGGGCTCTGGCGGGGGCATGGGAAATGGGAGGAGCAGGGTAGAGGGAGAGGAGAGGAGAGGCCGTAAGAGGGAGGAGGGTACTGGCGGACACGCGCTCGCACCATCAGGGCAGCGCATTTATGCCCCCTCTCCGGGCCCCACAGAGAGCTCCCGCCCTCACCGAGGAGGAGCTGATACGTGGCCCCGATCTTTGCCTTATAGGCCACCACCATCCTGAAGAAAGCCGCCATGTGATCGAGCTCCTGCCTCACGTCCGTGTTCAGCAAGCTCTGGTAGCCCTCGCGCCCCCCCCAAAAGACCAGGTTCTGGCCTCCGAGCCGGTGCGTCACTTCCATCACTTTCTTCACTTGAGCGGCCGCGTAGGCAAAAACATGGGCGTCCGGGTTCGTGGAGGCGCCGTTCATGTAGCGGCGCGTGCTGAAGAGGTTGGCAGTGCCCCAGAGACAGGAGATCCCCGTGCTGGACTGCAGCTCCACAGCGAGGTCCACGACGGCGTCCAGGAGCTTTCCTGACTCGGCAAGAGTAGCACCCTCGGGGGCAATGTCGCTTCGTGCCCGGGAAATGCGAGGATATCAGACACGGGTAGTGTAGTAGCCCTGCACCATGGCTTCCGTCTGTGGCCGTTACATCCAGGAAGCCACGGATGTCGCTAAACTTCAACAACACTCTCTCTTTCGCACTTACCGGTCGTGAAAGGTCCAGAAAGGCACGCCCAAGCGTTTCATAAATTCAAAAGCGACGCGAAGACGACGTTTGGCGTTCTCTAGGCCGTCTGTTCCGTCCTCCCACGGCCGGGAAATCGTCCCCCCCCCGAAGGGATCCAGGCCCACACCACGCATGGTATGCCAGTAACAAACACTGAAGCGGAGCCACTCCCGCATGCTTTTTCCTCGCACAATTTGATCCTCGTCGTAGTACTTGAAGGCCAGAGGATTTCTGGACGACGTGCCACCGTACGGAATCTTGGCCGGTATGCCTTCATCGTCGAAGTAATGCGCCACATCCAGGGTGCCCTTTCCCTGTCCATCTTGGATAGACATCGTTCCAGAGTCGCCCTGTCTTGGAGCTTTTGGCAACCAGCGATTCGACGACAAAGGTTGCGAGGTTATTTTGGGAATGGAACACCCGTGGGTGTCCACAGTACGAAGACGGCGCTTAGTACGGGGAGGTTACCCTTTATTGGCCGATATCCGTGAACAAATCTATTCTAGTAATACAAAGACCGCACATGCATAATGGCAAAATGTGGAAGGCTACCAACTTAGATCCCTGTGGTTAAAATGGTTCTGAACGCCTCCATCCTATGCATGCATTTAGAATTTTTCCGAGTGGGCGAGCGGGCGATCAATGAGACTACCTGGAAATGGGTGAGATAGCTACTCGACATACAAAAGTGCACCCAACTTTCATTCGTGTCGGACGCCTTTCTAATCGATTCCAGCTCGGAAACGATTTCCACAATTTTCTGTTGACAGCTCATACATATCGGAGTGTGTTTCATCGATCGTGTCAGCTGAATGTTTTGAGAGACCATGCTGTAGGAGCATAGTTACTTTGCCAGTAGAACGTTTTCCCGTGAAGTAACCTTGAGATCTAACGAACAATAACAACAAAATATCGGAAAAAGCAAATTCACATCCTCTATGTTTACTTTTGTTCAAGGTGAAAACGTTCCTTCTCCCACTACAGATCATCCCTTGACATTCTGCCGAGGATGATTTTTCCACACGGGCCCTCTTCGGGGGCTGCATTTTCTGATGCGTGTTCCTCCACTTTTACATCTTTTTGGGCTTGAGCACCTTCCCTAGCATGTGATCTAACAAGCCAAGCACTGGAATGGGATATGGAGACGGTCAAGTGTGTAAGGGATCAGAAAAAGGGTCCAGGAAGCGCCTTTTCACACGGGGAGGAAGCCCAGCAATTGACTTCCCGCGGCGGTGCTTGAAGGAACACCGGCAAACTCAAACGCACTCACCAGTGAAAGTGCCCCCGATTATAGCCATCAGAGAGGTCAAAAACTCATACCATGCTCTCTTCTTAGAGCTGATGACCGTAGCGAGGGGGGAAATGTCGTAGGAGAATTTGGCCTCGGGCACCTCGTCGTCTTGATAGTGCATGACCTGCACAGGAAGGGAGTGACGAATGTGCAACGTGCCCAGGAACAAAACACATTTCATCGGAAAAGACAATCCTTCTCCCCTTCTCCCCGAATCCAAGTCCCGCCCCGCGGCGTCCGCGTCCCCTCCCCAGGCACCCTCCCCCCTCTTGACTGGCTCTCACCTGGGAGTTGGCCACCATTTGATACTGTAAGACGGTGCTCTTCTGACCCCCGAATGTCCGGCTCACCTCGTAGTGAGTGCTGACAACCTGTAGAGCAGCCGTGTGTGTGAGAGATCCTCCTGCTCGCATTTGTTGCTCTCGTGTCACAAAACTCCAAACAATACTCTTCCGTATGAAGGCGACTCGTCTCCTCACATTCTATTTTTTAGCCACCAGAGGTAGACACCTCCTCTCTCCCCCACCGGACGTGAGGCGGGGCTCACCTTGAGGTAGTGGTGGAAAGCGTGGTGCACCTTGGAGACCACGTAGACCTGGTCGGCGAGGGGAGACCGCGTCTGTTGAAAGCCCTTGGGCAGGAGGGCCAGTTTTTCCCTGCAGCCATGGGGGGAGGGCGGGTCGGGAGGGAGTGGGGGAGTGAGCGGCGAGGACGGGTGCGCGTGAAGAAAGCCGGTCCTGCCATCTACGGGACTCACCTGTACTCGCGCGTCACGGGCGGCCCAAAGGTCAAGTCGTGCACTACGTGGGAGACGTTGGTGAGGGTGGGGTTCAAGTTGTGGTACTTGCTGCGCGCCTCGATGTGGAAGTTCCCAGGGACGCGGTTCACGAGCAGGAAGCCGCTCAGAAGGCAGCCCGGGTGCTCGGCCTCAGCGAAGAGCGTGCGCTCGATCTTCTCCCGGTGCTCGGGGGCCGACGAGGCGACCTTGGCGTGCAGGTCCAGCGTTCGCTCTATGTACGAGGTCAGCGCCTCCACGGTCCTGTCGGGGGAGTGGGGCGTGGCCAATGCTCACTGAGATGTCCTCCAAGGCCCAGTCCCGGTCTAGGCACATTCAACGCCACAGCTTCGTCCGCGCGATCCGCCCTATTTCTCCCCTTCCCCTCCTTTATCATTATCGCCTTTCCGATCCCGCGACACACGCCCTGCCTTCGCCTCCCCCCTTCCTCTTACCTGTCTTCGCGGTAGTCGGGCGAGATGGCCTTGCCGGCCTTATAGAGCCGGAGCGTGGGGAAGGCGCGGATCACGCTCTCTGCGCACAGGTCCCGGTGTTCCACGCAGTCAATCTTGACCACCTGTGGTGGAGGAGAGGAGAGAAGGCGGGAAGAGGCGGTCGTGAGCAGACTGGGGTACTGGGACCCCTCAGGATCCACCGGCAGGCGCCCACCTTGATGTTGAACTGCTGTCTCTCCAACGCCTCGGCGAAGGCCTCCCAGGTCGGGGCCAGACGCTGGCACCAGACGCACCAGGGCGCGTAGAAATTGGCGAACACGTACTCCTGCCCCGCCACGAAGCCCGCGAAGTCGTCCTTGCCGAGGGGCAGCGCGTGCTCGCCGTCTTGGTGCGCCAGGTCCAGAGCCGGATGGTGGTCGTCGTGGACGAGGTCGCGCTGCTCGCGGTTGCGGCTGTAGGAGGGGAGGGCCGGCGGGCAGGGGAGGGGAGGGGCCCGGGTAAGGTATACGAGATCGGCCCTCTCTAGGCCCCCATATGAGTTAGCCGCCTCACAAACTCTCCAAACTGACAAACCACCTACCCTTGAAACATGCGTCGCTGAGCGTTCTGGTCCAAGTTCCACTTCTCGATGTTCTTGGTCACGTTCTGCTGATTAGTCCCCAGCACGTCCAAGACGTCCACCGTCGCGAACTCGCAGGGCACGTCAAGCATGGTGATGTTGAAGTTGATACGAATCTACAGGGTTCGGACAGTAGGAGGGGATTAAGCAGGGGATGACAGAGCCCGATCTCGGAGCGGGACCGACACATTGTGATGAGATTTCATACTTTCTTCCCCTCCCCATCCTTCCGGCTGCAATTCGTACTTGTTGATCCCTGTTAAAGTCCACGACGACGGTACTATGGGTAGTGGAGGCAATGAAGGAAGAAAGCTCGACTACAAAAAGGCTAAGCATGAAAAGGCTGTAGAAAAGTAAAGCGATGAGGTGAGCCTGATGGGTCCCTTTATTTAAAAAAAATGTCATCGACGTGATACGGAAAAGTCTCCCCCAACGGTAAACACTGTAAGAATTGTGTGCATCTTCCTCTCCCAATACGTGGGGCACACCTACATGGCTAGGATTGAGACGAGACCTCCATGCCAAGTCGCCTCGGTGAGGTCCAGAGGCACTTTACGGTAGAAGTCGAAGCTCTTGATGCCCCGTGAAGAAACTGGCGCCATCGCGCTCGAAGGGAGGGAAAGCGGTGCTCTCCTGTATCAAGTGGTGCAGCATGCGACACGTGCGCGGTGAGTCACGAGCATAAGGGGCAAAAGAAGGGGAGCAGTAGGGCGGGAGGCGTGCGGGGGCAGGGGGTGAAGAACAAGAACACGAGGTGAAAGGAGACGTGGGCGAGCAACACCCG